TATATTTATTTACTTTCATTAATTTTATTGAAGTGAGCACATCCTTTCCAGTCTTCCAAAGCCTGATTTGTTGGATGTTTCAGGATTGTTTCCACTGTTAGCAATATGGTCTCATACTAACATTTCATACTATCAGATATTTCATCGTTGCTGTTTTAGCATATTGTGCTTGACCCATGGCAGCTTTGAATGCAAATAACAAACAAGCTGATGCACAATGCTTGGCTGTTAAACTGAAATAATATGGCAGGGCTAAACTGGGTTTCATTTTTCCTTTTGAATATTATTAATTGCAAAGTGTTGACTGTTAATTTAATTAAATGTTTTGTTTTAATATAAAACCATTTTTCAGTTCACTGACTCACCATTTCATTTAATTAATTGCAAACCTCAAGATTTGATTACTCATAGTTCTCCTTTAGTTAATTTACTTGTTCACAGTTTTGACAGAAAAGCTTTCAAACTAATATGAAGGAGGGGCACAGTCTGACTAATCAGGAAACTGGAAAAAATAGCTGTAGCAGGAGTATGAGATTAGCAGATACTCAGGGTCACCTAAAAAAGCTCAGAGTCCTTGTATTCACCATCAAAATCTAATTTTCAGTGACCAGATATTAGTTAAATGTGGAGGGTTCACTTGCATGCAAGACACTGTAGGGTACCTCATTGTAGGGATGGAATTGAGTTTTGGTGTTTTATGTCTCCAGGAAGGTATTTGCTAATGAGTAAATTGTGATGTTACTGGGGGCAAGATGCACTTGTAACCTGGTTCAGCACTGCCCTGTAATGGGGGACTGGCCTTGAGGGGGACATTGCAAATGGCCTGGAGTTGGTGTGATCTTTGGACCATGCAGTAAAAATGCTGCTTCTGTTGAAATAGTTCTTGAGACTTCCCAGAGGAATAACCTTCAGTAGTCTGTGTGTCTGTGTAGGGGATGTCTGAGTAAACAATTAACCAGTGGCTTTAATGGGATGTAGACAAGGGATGGAGAAGCCTCTCTGGTGGTACCCTTTCAGGTACCACAGGGGCCGTGGCTGTAGGAACAGAGGATGTGCTCAGTGGGTCCAGGAGCAGCCAGAACCTCACAGAACATTTGGATCTGTTCCATCTCCAACACCCCATAAGCCCTGAGTTCTCCCCAGAGCAATGCCATTGCCGTGTTTAGTCAGCTGAGCGTGGCCCTCATTTACATCCAGCTCCCTTGTTTGAGAACTCTTTGGTTCTTAGGCCTGTTCTAACTGTGGCTCAGAATACGATTGCAGAATTTTACCTGTGCCTGAAGCGTGCTGGTTTGTGTGTCCTTGAGGGGTCATTTGGGGGCTGAACTGGTGTGTTGTGCAGCAGAGTTCTGCAGACTCGTCAGAGGCAGAGTACACGGTGTCCTGACCAAAGTCACAGGAAGAAGGTTACTAATGGCAGCTGGTTGTTGTGCCATATGCAAGGTGGTGCAGGTGTAGCTGACCACCACAAGCTGTTATGCAATTGTGATCAAGATTCATGTGCAGGGAGCTGACCCTGAGCACTGCTCCCAGATTTCGGCGTGGGTGCGGCCGTGTCCCTCTCGGAGATCCCACCAGCTCTCCAAGGAGCTGCTGCGTTCCTGCCAAGGCAGCTGGGGGGTTCTGGGCTGCTGGTGGCAGTTCTGCAGAGAAACCATTTCAGTTGTGCTGAGACTCTTCCTGTGTTGTTGTTGCATTTAAAGGCTGTACGTGTTTGATAATAAACGGGCCGTAGTTTATTTCCTGGGCGTTCAGTGATTGATCACAGCTGGCAAAAGATAACTGAAGGAAGGAAAATTTCAAGTGTAAATGGAAAGGGAAAAATGGGAGCTTTGAAGTATGTGATCCAGCATGTTGGTTTTCCTAGTGACCCTTTCATTTTGGAGGGAAGTAGAGGGATAGATGTATACGTTACAGCAGTTTTCCAGGACATTTTTCAAAGTGAGGTGCTCTCAGTGAGATCCTACTGCTGATAATGATTCATCTGAGAGGATAGAAATGATTCTTCAGTTCTTTGTAGGTCCTTAGATAAGTCAGTTGAAGAATAGCCCTCTTTGCTGCAGCTAGCCTGAGCTGAGTCAATTAAAGAAGGGAGTTTTATTAATAGTTAAATTAAATAATAGCTTCAGTAACGTTAGCCATGGCAGTACCTTAATTGAAGACTTTGCCAATGGGCAATTTGCTGCACGTTTTCTTCCATCATTTCAATCAGTGGCACCCCCTTACTGCTGAAACCATTTCCTTTAGCCTCAATTTTATTATCCTTCAGAAATGCTGAAGAATTAATGCGTTGTTATTACAATGCCTCATACAGGCCAGGCACATTTTGGGGCTTCTGCTGCTATCAGAGTTCAAGTAAGAAGTTATACAGACTGGGGAGTGGTGAGTGAGGGCATAAAGACTTTGCTGACACTGAGCTGAGGGATAATCTTGGCTGGATCTGCTTCAAGGCTGTGCAGGATCTTCAGTGCTCTCTACACTAGGACTGTGCTTTACTCTTTAAACTTTTAATGCTGAAGTGGAGTGACTTTGGTGTGGCAGATGGCACAGCACAGTTTTCTGATCCATCACTGTGTTTTGGCTGGTGTCCTTATGGCAGCTGTGTCTGGTTAGGGAGCTCAGAAACGCCTGACAATAATTACCTTTAATTTCTGCAGGCGGCAGCGTGGTGGTTTTGGGACTGTGTTTATTATTTTCTGTTTGTTCCTTGGTACCCTTTCTGCCTTTGTTACGCTTCTGTACAACTGTTCAGAAGGTTTTTGGGGATTTTTATGCTGTTGTTGTTGGGGTTTTGTTTTTGTTTTTTTCCCCTTTTTTAAATACAGTGCCCTGTATCATTTTTTCTAGTCTTTTCTCTGAACATTTTAATGAAGGTATGAATTTATATTCCCTGTCTGTCTCCTTATGAATAGTTTCTTTACTATTTTGTGTAATTAAACTAATGAAATTTTATGCCTTATAGTCCATACCAAGAACCTGTATAAATAGTGACCCTGATGAAAATCCTTACTGGGATATTGGTTCCTCGATGTACCCTCCTGGGTACATGAAAGTGATAAAAAGGTGTAATAAAGAACTCCCTGCTCAGACCTATATTTTTATAACCATCAAAAGGAATATGATTTTTTTGGTAAATAGATGAGAAATATAAAGTAAAAAGAGGTTGCTGTGGGTGGGTACAAGTTTCTGAAAATGTTTTAGTGATGGCTGTACCTCAAAACTTGGAATTGGTTGGATGAGGAGGAAAAGGTTGGAAAAGCAGGCAGGTGCCTGGAAATCCTGAAGGCAGTAAATTCCTCAGAAGAGTTGGTCTGATTCTTGGTTTTTTTGAACTTCCTGAAAATCGTGTGAAATTCACTCAGAGAGCAATCCCACTTCCTTTCCCTAGAGAAAAAAGTGGAAGTTTATAGACTGTTTCATCTTCTCCGGAAACTGTGTGAAGAGTTTTATCATTGAAGATTTATTCTGTGATGGATTAAGTGTGAGTGATGTCAGAATTTGTAAAAACAGGAGTTTAAACATCGGCATTTTATACCTGCTGGATAAAAAAACCTGTAGCATTTGCAGAACTCTACAGGCTGTTATAAAGAAAATTATTTTAAAACAAAAAGTGGGTACTATTACAGGGCAGTGACCTTCTGTACCAAGTGATTAAAGGACCTAAAAGACAAAATTACTGATGATGTTTTCTGGATTCACATTTTTGTATTTAGTGTATATTAATAATGAAATTAACTTTTGTGAAGCTCATTAAAGGAGCAGCTGAGCTAATCTGAGTGTCAAATTCAGCTGCTTTTAGAAGACTTTTAATTTGTGGATGTGTGGTTGTATAGGATGTGAACATTTTGAGTTCCTTTTCATCGGTGTCTAATCTGTCAGTAAGCAAATACTTCCCAGAAACAGATTATTTCATTGTGGTTGGATGTGTGATATCTTTGTGGGCACACAAATGAAATTCCTGGGTTTTTGGGGAATGCAGTTCAGTGATTTTGTGGAACCATGCCATGCTATACAGGAGGAAGCCAGTAAACTCATTAATCCATATCTGAATGAATAAACAGTTATACCTGTGGAGATCTTTTTGGTTAAGGGTTTGCATACCCTGAATTTTCCTACAAGGTAGATGAATTCAGAGAGGGATTTTCAGTCACCTCTTTCTCAGAGTAAAAGCATTTTGATACTGTGTGGAAGAAAATTGGATCTTTTACTTACTGACCAAGTCAAAATGATAAAAAACGTTGCTCTTATGAAAAAAAAGATACTGGGAATCTAAATAAAACTAATTATGATAATTATGGAGACCTATAGCCTAACACTGCTCTATTTCTTCTCATTTACTACAGGAAATAATTTAGTTTTTAGTCACTTGAAAATCTTCTAACAATAACCCCCCCTTAATTCTGGTCTTAATGGTCTCTTAAAAATGGGATTGAGTTTGTACTTAGCCATATTGTATTTTTTTACACATTTCCAATGTGATATTTTTCCTGTAACAATAATGTTAATCTAAACCAAGAGACTTCTGAAAGAAACAAAATAATATTTGGATATATAATGTAATAGTACAGCATTGATTGCTCCATGTTAATTGGCTTTGAACTGTTGAAATTAGGAAATACTGTATCTTCCTGTGTGTGTGGAAATTTTGTAGCAGCTAAATAAGTCAACCAGAAAGTGATCAAAGTGACAAGGTGATCAAAGTGACAGGAAATTATATTTAAAAGTATAATCAAAAGGGATACCATTAAATAAATATTTCTTTATGTTAAAAAGAAATATAAACATGAAAGAATTTTTTTTTTTTAAATCCTTAGAATGGTGTATTGAAGTAACTTGACTTGAAAATAAAGGCAGTGTTCAGGATAGCATTACACAACTGGACTAAGAATGTGCAGTGAATTTATGTGACTTTTTCCTCCTGAAAGGAGAGGTTTTGTTCAGGCTTTGCAGTGCCACAGTGTATGGTATGATACTGCATTTCATTTATTTGTCTTTTCCAGGTCTGACAGCGGCTGCCATGGCAGAGGCCATGAAGCTGCAGAAAATGAAACTCATGGCAATGAACAGCCTCCATGGAAGTGGGAGTCAGAATGGAACCGAGTCAGAGAACGAAGAGCTCAATTCTAATGCAGGTGAGGGATGCTCTGAACACCTGGGCTTGTGCTTGGGTCACAGAATCAAAAATCTGTCTCAAATTCTTGTGCTCTTTGGTTTTGTAAGCTCTGCTCTGCCTGTGTCAAAGCAAAATCCCTGCACCCGTTTGTCCAGTGTTCCTCCAGTTTCCCTCCTAACAGATATCTTCATATTGGTGAAGGGTTGTTTTCATTACTGATGTTTTAAACTGCCTCATAAATATATTTGTGGTAACAAAAGATTTCTCTATTGCTGATAGTAGAGTTATTTCCAGAGTTTTCCTGTAAATGTTGGAAAGTTTCCAAAGCATCAGGTTGTTGTAATTCATTCTGAGTTCCACAGTTCACTGGAGAAAGGTAAAGTAGGGAGTGCTAAATCACCAACTTTCTGGCTTTCCTGCATTTTGTTCTTTCCTTGGGTGGATATTTGCAAAGCACAGCTGTGAAGAAGAGTTGTGATGAACCTTTGCTGTGGCCTGACTGGATCTGCTCGGGGGGAAGGCCCTGACACCCAACATGTGTTCAGGCTGTACCATATAAGCATTAATGTAAATTGGAATGAAGTTCCCCCAGTCCCAGCTCCCCAGGAACAGGGTTCAAAGGTAAAATCAGAAATGGATCCTTTGAAGAGCAAATCTTTGTTTATTCTGAAGTCCTTTTCAGGTGAATAGAAGAGATTTTTACTTGGACAGTGAGAGAACCTGGAACAAGGCAGGTCCCTTTTGTCTCTGATACCTGTCACAATAAGGGCAGTTTCCCTTGGTCTCACTTTTTTTTTGGCCCAGATGATGCTATGGTACAGTACCATTCATGGTTTGTTCTCATTATCAATTGAAGAGAAGAGGCACTGTGTGATCCCCCTTCACATCCCACTCTCCCGTCGGCATTCCCGCGTCTCCGAAGGCAGAGCCCGCCTGGTGTGTGGGGTATACCCATCGTGCCATCAGAATGGTAATTTATTAGACCAATAAAGCAGCAGCTGGGAGGTCTTAGACTCATTTTCTGAAGGAATAACTTTGAATTCATGACAAATTATGCACAAAGCAGTCTTTCCAAAAGTGGTGTTGCCTTTTGCTAATTTTGTGTGCTCATCTGTATTGAAGAAATCTGGATTCTACCTCCTGCATTAAATCTTTCCCCAGCTTTCTGTTCTGCAGGATATGTGTTTCTTATTCCTCTCTCGGACCCTAATCAATTAGAGCATATTGAATTCAGAAAAAAAACCACTGAAAAAGCATATTTAGCTTATATGACTCTATATACACATACTCTTGTCTGTAGTTCAGAGAATTCTGAATTTTCACTGAGTGCTAAGAAGTAGGACTGAAGATAGAATTCCTACAGAAGAGCAAGGAAGCTTCACACTGAAAAGATGTAGGGTTGGTATTAGGGATTTAAAAGCTGCTGTACAAAAGTTTGCTGATGTCAATGTTCGTGGGTTTGCGTGTTACCTGATAACAGCAAAATTTGTGCCCTTCGTGTGGGGAGAATCTACATTAATGTGATTATTTTAGGTATTGAGAATTTTTTTGAGGAACTCTCTTGCCATCCTTTGGACAGTGATCAAGAGTGTACATGTTACTGGGGAGCTCTCTGGGCTTTTTAGCAATTCAGTGAGTTCTACAACCAGCTCAATGCCAGTTTAAATATTTGGAGAAATCCCCACTGACTTTCACTGAAGCTGCAGTGGGCCCAAGGATAAGGGTGTGGGAGCAGTTATGTAAAGACCTTTTCTCAATTCTTTCCCCTTTTCATTGCCTAATTCAGTAAAGTTGCCAAGAGCAAATTTGCTGGCTCAAGTATCAGTGTTACTTTGCAGACAGAGAAAGAAATCCTTATGAGAAAGAACTAATGCTAATCATACTAAAAATCAGTCTTTTCCCTCTTTTTAGTATCCTCAGTGCCAGCATTAGGCTCATTTTGGTAATGTGTGGGTTGGAGGGTCATATTTTAAAGATTTGCTTTAAGCAGGTACAGCAGGATGTGGCAAAAAGGAAAACCAACATGAAAGGGATGTAAAAGTTGACTGTACATTTCACCATAGAAAATAACTAAGGAATTATCAAACATTCACTGCAGAAAACCCCTGGGGGTCTAAGGTGGGGCATGAAGAGAGTGGGAATTTCGTTTAGAAGTTCATACACATGTTGTGACTTTGATCCGCTGTGAAGGGAGCACCAGGATAATTCTGTGTGCATGAAACCTTCACCAACTGTTTGTTTTGCTCTAGACTTACAGTTTAAATGGCTATTAAAAACAAAATGGGGATGTGAAATGAGAAAGAAAATTGAATTTTGAATTTTTTTTTTACCAAGAAGAGGTAAAAAGGAACAGAGCAAAGGAGTCAGAAGCCTCATAAGTGAGAAAAACATTTTATTTTAGGAGAGAGACCTACAGTTTCTTTGATTTGAGGTTGTGTTTAATAGCTTCTGTAATGGCTGCAACATGACTCTGCATCTAGATTTCAGCATGAATAACAACCTGTTCGTGTTTCATTTAGCTCCAAATGAGAAATTCTGTCTTTTATTGTTTTAGGAAATTAGTCTGTGTACTATTGCTCCTGGAACTTTATAATTAATCACTAAAGGTTATGGCTGTGGAGAGTTTGTGGGAAATAGATGTCTGAATGATTATAATTGTAACTGTCAAATCAGAAATATAGTTATATAGAGCGGAGGACCTTTTGCTTCCTTTGTTTTTTTTTCTTTTTACTGTAACAAAGACTTGAAGGGTTGTGCAGTTTTACTTAAAAAAACCCACAACTATAGAGGCTGTTGGTTTTTTACCTTAGTGCTACATGTTGACTTCCTACAACGCCACAAAATATTTCACTTTAGGATATGTGCCTTCCTCCTCATCCCGTAGTCTGACAGATGAGTGGAATACTCTCTTTTTGCTGTTGTTTATTTTAAATTAAAAATGTCATTGAGCAGCATTAAGTCCTGAAGCTTTATTGCCAGATTTTTTGGAAGTGTGTCATTATATGCAGGTCATTAGTATAATAAAAAAATTGTTGAGGATCTCTTGGCATATTCATTTCAACCTCCATCTGTATCTGTTGAACTCAGTATGAAGTAATTTTGGGTGTGCTTCTTATTGTTACCTAGACTGGCACTTTTATAGTTTCTTCCTTTGTGGGTGAATGTATGATGATGGAAATTCTTCCAGAATTTCTCTGTCTGAAGCCAGAATTCCTGCTGTCCATTTAAAATCTGAACTCTAACTCGGTCTAACACAATCACTGCCTAATTCTTTAGATATTATACTGTCCTCTGGGAAATTGCAGGTGTGGAATTGAATCTTACAAGTGTGTCTGTGAAAGTGGGGAGTAAATGTGCCACTTCTTTCCCTGCTTCTAGTCCAACTGGACTACCTACCTCCTTTTTGTGATGTTACAATAATCTCAGTAATGATGGAGCTTGGTACTGGAATATTCTAAATAATATAAAAATGCTACAAAAGATAATACTGAAAACGTGGGGGAGGAAATTTCCCAAAAAATTAATTTGCACATATTTTTTAATTGAAGTAATGCCTTAGTTCACTGTGCTGTGAAGAATGTGAAGGATGTTGTTATACATTTGAGCATTGGTGTCCTCCTTCCACTCTCCCTGCAGAAGAGAAAGAGATTTTTTTGCACCTTCCTACTCATCATATGAAGTGTTGAAGCAGAACTTCTCAGGCAGTTGAAAATCTCCTCTTTAATCCGACACTGCAGGTTCTCTGGCCCCACAGTCCAGCTGAGCTGTGCTGGCTGTTCCTGGGGGCTTTGGATCCCTCTCTGTTTCCTTGTAGGATCCTGGAGAGAAGGTTGAATTCAGAGAACCAGGTGGTTTGGGACATAGGTGGATGTGGGAGAAATTCATCCCTCTGAAATATCAGATTCCAAGTTGGACATAAATCTTGCATGACCCTATTCCTTGTTTTTTGGCTACTTCAAATGAGTCCTTGGAGATGAGGTGGTTTTTTGGTGGCACCTGAGGTTGCCCTGAGTGCAGAGGTTTGCCACAGCTAAGGCTGGTGACACATGCCAGGAGTGTTGTGGCCTTTCCTATTCCACTTGGGAAGTGAGTAAGATCAGGAGTGAGCAGCTGGCAGCTGCCTCCAGGTATTCTGGCTGTGTGTGCAGCTCTCAAAGCCCAGCCACGTAATCAATTTTGTTGTTCTATAGAAATGAGATACACAAAACAAAACCTCTCTGGTTGCACAAGAAGTGTTTGTAAAGATCACCTCTTTCATCATCATGCAATGCTAGAACTGAGTGAAGTGTATTCTGGAAATTACTGTATAATTGCATAGGGAAATTTGAAACTTATTTGAAATCAGAGCTTTTATTTTTAATAGCACGGCAGCAGGTAATTTGTACAAGTGTGTGATAGGATAGATTGCAAAATACAGAATTGGTGGCACTACCTGGACATCCTTTAAGCTGCATGAGCAAGGCAGGATCAGTGCCTGGCAGTCGTGACAGCAGCTGTTTGTACAGAACCTCCCAGCAAAGAATAAAGCAGGTATTTCCTTCTGGTGGCTTTTGGAGTTACCATGCATGATTTAAGAAATGTGTTTTGCTTTCCCCAGAGAGATATCAAACAGTACTAAGTGTTTCAGTGGTATTTCCTTAGGAAGTCAAAATGTTATTCTGCATGTAGAGTCTTGTTGCTTAATTTCCAGACAAGGAGCTAAGTTAGGCAGAAAAGAAAGGAAAAACACCCCAGCTTTTGGCATATGAGGATCAGAGAAAAAGCTCTCCGTAGGAAAAAAGAGTGTTATCTTTTTATCCTTCTTTCCCTTCAGTACCTGCCATGCAGTTTTCTCACAAATGCAAACATCCTTCACAATCTGTTTAAAAAACCACAAATACATCACTCGGAGGAATATTTAAGGAACCATCAGGAGGGAAAAAAACTCATTGGTTTAATGGAATGCTGTCAAGGAAAATCAGCATCACAAACGACACAGGGGCAGAATTGATACTTTTGCACTGACATGTTAAAAGAAAA